GGAAAATTAAGTCAAAAAAATCAAGAAAAATGTAATTTTAACTGTGGGCCCCACTACAGATGCAAAATTCCTCATACGATCATGGAAATCAGAATGTGTGTATGAACACACATGTGCTTATACATACATGTACATACACACATTTTCTGTTGCTTGAGAGCTACCATTGAAGTAATAAAGCTTAAAAGTCCCAAGATTGTCCTGGCATCACCGATGATGCCAATTCACAAATATGTCTTAGCAACCTACATGCCAAAACCTGGTGTTTATGACCCAAGGAAAACATTCACTTTATCACCATTCCACTAAAATGTACTGGAAGCTGTAGCTGGCAATTTAGTCCCCATCTACTTTACTGCTTTTCAGAGACAGAGACTGACAGACAGAAGCTCATAGAAGAGTGTGAATTAAAGACCCTAAAGCCTGACATGTGGAAAGTGAGGCTTCTAAGTCAGTTAGCAGTAACTCTGCTGGTGAACTTATTTAGGTTGTTTTGACACCATTCAAAAGTTTTAAGCTGACTGGAGCTTAGTACTCTGGTCCTGGGATCTTGCAGGCTTTATGAACCTTCCATTCTGCAGTGAGACACAACTTCAGCAAGAAGCAGACAAGTGCCATCACCTCCTCAGCCCACCTTAACCACCAGCCTCATCCAACTACCAGGTCAGGTATTTTCACACCAAGTCGGATGAGGCACCCTCCAACCACAGCTACGGGATCTGGCTTTGCAGGGAACTTAAGACACCAGACATCTAATCTGCTGACTTAAGGATGAAAAATGTGTCAAACAGAGCAAAGCCTTGGCAAGAAGGAAGTAGTTTTACACCTGTTCAGAAGCAGAAATCTAAGCACATAGAAGAGTAAGTTTTTACCTCTAAAATTACCTAGAAGATCAGACAAAGGTTTGTGAATTGTACCCTTCTATTTATGTTTCAATTCTACCCAAGTCTCATTCTAGGCCAGCAAAGGTTTTGCAAGAGGCACTTGTGTCACTGTCTGTACAGACAAGATACCCAGATTCACACTGGGTCTCTTTGTGGACCTATGCTTAAGTCTGCTGTGGCAAGGGTAAAGAATGAAATTCAAGTGAAAACTCACACAGACTAAATGCCAGAACCAGGCAGATGAGCAAGCTGTGCTTCACTGAATAAATTGGGAATTGCCCACAGCATGCCAAATGAATGCATGCAGTCCTGCCCAGCTTCTGAAGTTAGAGGATACCTGGGCCTGGCTATCATACAAGCAGAAAACTAGTTGGGAATTCCCGAGCTAAGAAGTTACAGATGAACACTTTCTGAACATTAAAGCATACACAAAATAATGAGTTTGCTTGCTGCTGGTGTTACGGATTGACAGAAATCACACCAGAACAGATCAACTTCTATGCGGTTTTCTTACACAAAAAACTTCTGTATCTGACAAGTAAATAAAACAGTCTCAAGAGGGTAAATATTTATAAGGTTAAGTTAGCAGGCTATGCTATTTAAAAAAAAAGTAGTATCCTATTCTTCCTAGTCGAGTTGAGAACCAAACAAGGTGCTGTTCTGCCAGGCAGCCTCCTGAGACATTCCTTAGCCTGCAGTGTTGACTATCAGCAACAACAAATGGAACAGCATTTACATGATTTGCTTGACTACCTCTTTTCCTTGCACTGTCCTATCTTCATCCTTCCAAACATCATTTAGCAGGTAAAACAAGCTTTGCCAGTAAACAAATGGGGAAAATTATTTGTTTCCACAGATACATACTTATGCTATTGTATGTGTAATGTTGTGGCACTGGACATACAATAATGATGCTTTCACAACTGCTATTCATTAGCTTCACTCATTCTACAGCACTTTCCAGAGATACAACTGGCCAGTTAATTTGCTGAATTTTGTTATTTGCTAATTTGACAAATTTGCTAATTGGTCAGTTGTCTGCACTGAAAGGAGGGAGAAAGCAGAACTAGAACTTGGGTTTAGTGCTTTTCATTGAGGACAAGCTTTTTTATGATTGAAGAGCAGAAAAAAAAAAGCGTGTCTTGACCAAAAGAATCAGATAAAAATAATTAGATCAGGAAGAAAATGATCAACAACACAATCTCACAAAACTAAAACTAAGACATGGGAAGTTAAGTTTCAAGAACAGAACAAGTAGCTATCTTTAATGCATTTGGTTTCGTTGATATTTTAGAATAGCTCTTTACACCTCATTTTACTCAGGAAAAAAATAAAAGGCAACCATACATAAACAAGTCACTTCAAAAATCATTAGAGAATGGTTTTGCTACCTACCATAAACATCAATTTTGCTTTTGAACAATGACTGATCACTTACAGACTCCACTTAAAATTAGGAACAACCCCACCATTTCACTTCTCTCCTCCCAAAATAAAAACCTTCATGATTTTTTTTTCTTGCTAATACTTATTCATACACCAGTAAAAGGAATAACTAATCTCGAATGTGCATTAATTGGTGGCTACTCCTTTAACAAAAACCAATTATTAAGGCTACTGCATAGGAATAAAGCCCACTATCTTTCAGTGAAAGCTTTTTCTATTAGAACATTAGTTAAATGACACAAGTTTAATACTCATATAGTGCATGCCTATTCCCAGGCAGGTTTTTGCTTGCAGCCTTTTCTGCTTTATCCAGTCAAATTGTGCCATATGTTTTGCCACTCTAGCTGTGAAGAAGTCTATTAATTACCTAAAGTCAGTATTTTCTTCCAGGGTCAGCTTACACTGTTTTCATTTCTCTTTAATGAAAGTAAGAAAGTTGTTGACAACATGGGAGGAACACGATTCAAAAAAAAAAAAAAAATGAAAGAAAAAAAACAAAAACAAAAAACCCAAAACAAAAAAAAAACCCACCAAAAAAAAAACCCCAAACAAAAAAACTAAAAACACCAAACAAAACCTATTTTTTCTTCAAGGAAAAATCCATATGATGTGGACATCCACCATGGATGAACGATAAATACATGATCTGGTGGGTAATGTGAAGTTGGATACTTGAATTATTTAACTGCTCTTAGCCACTTTCCTCTGGCTAAATAACTTAGGAAATGGGATACCTAAATTTCTGTATTTGTAGCACTTCAGTGAGTCTGTTGTACCTCAAATGATACAAGTTTTAATGGATATGAGCAAGTTTTTCAGTCTTGCACTGAACTCATTGGACTGTCTCAACTCACCATCATACTCTTAAGAAAGTTAACTCCTCTGCAGCCAACTTACTGGTAGGAATTTGCAGCAGCCAAGTGCCCTAGACAGCACCTAGTCTCAGCTGTCAATTAAACCTCAGTCTCTTTAAAGGCAGAGATCCATCACTGCAGTATTCCCTGAAGCTTGCCCTAGGTTGCTAGGGTGCTATGAAAGGAGGTATGTATGATACTTTACATAATGAAGTATAATGCAGAGATGTAAGAATTATCGGAGAACTAACCCAGTTAGAGCCATAAGAAAAGCAACTGTCATCAGCACAGTCCTGCTTGTTCCCTGCTACACCAGTCCTACATCAGGCTGACATGACTGGACTGATTGAGACAACCACTGCCTATAAAATCATACAACCATAGAATGCTTTGGGTTGGAAGGGACTTTAAAGACCACCTACTTCCAACCTGCCCTGCCATAGGTGGGAACGCCTTCCACTAGACCAGGTTGCTCAAAGCCCTGCCCAACTTGGCCTTGAACACTGCCCAGGATTGGGCAAACACGCCCCGGGTGGGGCCAGCCACAGCTCCTCTGGGCAACCTGTGCCAGTGTCTCACCACCTTCATAGTGAAGAATTTCTTCCTAATGTTCAGTCTAACTCTACCATCTATCAGTTTAAAGCCATTCCTCCTTGTCCTGTCACTACATGCTCTTGTCAAAAGTCCCTCTCCAGATTTCTTGCAGGCCCCCTTTAGGTATTGGAAGATTGTCATAATATCTTCCTGGAGCCTTCTCTTCTCCAGGCTGAACAAGCCCAGCTCTATCAGACAGTTTCCATAGGAGAGGTGCTCCAGCCCTCTGATCATCTTTGTGGCCGCCTCTGGACTGGCTTGAGCAGGTCCACCTCCCTCTTCTGCTGGGTCCTTGAGCTGAACACAGTACTGCAGATGGGGCCTCACAAGAGAAGAGCAGGGGGTAGAACCACCTGCAAGCCCAGGATACGGCTGGCTCCATCTGAACTCCATGTCACATAGACCTACCTTCTTCAGTTCCACTATCATGAAAACTCCTGCACCACGCCAGGTGCTACAAAGTAAATGTATTCTGTGACTCAAAGTAAAAGCACGTCCAAATAATTCTTTGACGATTTCAGAGATCTTTTAGTATGCAAAACACTAACCAAAACCAAGACTCTTCCTTCATATCTTCACCCCATATATACAGCTAATGGAAAATGCGACTTGCAGTATTGCTAGTAATTCTGCTCAAAGTTGCAACTCTCAAACTGCACTCATAAATAAACCCTGCTATTTGACCAATGAATGAGATTCAAGTGTAAGGTGACGCTGAAATATTGCCATCAAGTCTGCCATACTTATTGTGACTCAAAAACGTCACAGAATTTCTGGCAATAGTCAAGTCTTCATCAATGAAGAAAAATCCCTGTATTTAAGACTATTTTTTAGATATTAAAGAATTCCAAAAGTTTAATGAAATAAGCTACTACTTCTGAAGAAAAACATTGACAGTAAGAGAATATTTTCAGAGCTTGTAATGGATCATTATTCAGTAAAAATACACTAAAATTGAGACATACAATCACAGAATATCTCTGTCTGGAAGGGACTCATAAGGATCATCAAATCCAACTGCCTGGTCCTTGCAGGAGCATAACTGTATACAACTTTACGTAACTGTAAAATATTTCAGTTTTCTTTTAAATAATCTTAAATTTTAATTATGAAAATAAATAGGAACAATCAATGCAGCATTAGGAAACTGTGCCGAGCAAGCAGAAATGAAGCTGTTGCACAATGTGTCTGCTGAATCTCCTACGACCCAAGGCTTTGGATTTCAGTTTTTGGCACTGGATTCCAACAAGTCTTTCGCTTCATTTATTTTTGTTGCTAAGTAGGGTGATCCGCCTGAGAAGAAAAAGGGGAAAGGAATACCATTTACACATCAGTGTTAAGTACCAAACTACTTCACTTGCAACATCTCCTTATTAATCACTTTTACTAGCTCTTCTTTCCCAAATTGATCCTTTTCATACAACTGCTTAAAAAATGACGTTGATATGAAACAAACTAATTGATAAATATGAGAAATGTAACCAAAACTGAAATCATTGAAGAATAACACTGAACAATTTATTTCAGAGAGAAGACTGAAATCTGAAATCACTTTACATTGCTGTGATTTAGACTTGCAGTGCAATGCTGCTGCAAATGTATGTAAGGTCAGCTGTCTTGAACATTTAGCTAGAGCTAACAGCTATTATTTCCACTCATCCCAAAAAATTAAGATGTAAAATTTTATAAGTAATTTTGACAAAGAATCATTACGTTTGTGCACATGCGCACATCCCCCAAGCCTCTTGTGTGCTAGGCGCCCAAAATTACCAGCCAGAAACCATCACATTAAAGCTATTTAAACATGGTATGCCTTCTAACTTCTAGTCCTGAACACTGTCATTGCCTTATGCTCCATCTAACAATCTGATTACAGTTCAGTGGTCTTTTTGTGTTTGGGTTTTTTCTTTTTTCACTCTCCCCTTGAGTGCCAACCATCTGCCTACAGTCGCCAAAGCCAACCTGATAAGGTCTGTCTCAGTAACTTACCATTTACTATAAGACACCTGTATTTTTTACATGAAAATGTGATTCTAACAGAACTGTGCACTGAATAGTGTTTTCCAAAGCATCTATTTAATCGTATTTTTTCATTCATCATTTCATTCATTCTATTCATCAGAAAAGACAATGACAGAAGAAACACACAGGACTAGTTGTAGACACACATGAAAAAAAACTCAAACCAAAAGGTAAGGCTGGCTTAAAGACTTCTTTAGGACACTCCTGCAGCAATACAAATCATTATTAAGTGATTTCATGGTGTAATAAAACAACTGGAAAAGGTAATGGAGTTCTCTTGTTCACATTTTGGTTTTGGCTGAATGTAAGACACACTGGAAGAAAGTGAGGCAGGGCAGGGGAAGGGCAGAAAACTGGCTACTGGAAAATTAATTCATTTTTATTAACAAAAAAAAAAAAAACAAAAAAACCCGAACACCTGGATTTTTATTCAGGAATAGTATTTACTACAACAGGTATTGCTTCATGCAAAGAGTAGGCAGGAGGATCAAACAGTAAAAACTGCAATAAACAATGTATCCCAAATAATTTTTAAATGTGCGTTGATTTTTACATGTCTAGAGTGCAGGATCTCAAAGTAAATTCAAATCTGCTGGAAGTGTTTTCACTACATTTACATCCTCAAGTGCCATATTAATTTTGTAGCCCTCCAATGAGAGAAAATTCAATCTCATGATTGCCTAAGTGTTTGTTTATAATTAAGGCAAGTCCAAAAGGCTTCTCTCTCCCTCTTTTTCCATGAGCAAATATTCTTTCATAAAATTACTGACAAATTAACATACAATTTATCAATTAAAACTCTTTAATACTGAACTGTAAAGGTTAATAAGCAACCATTTTATAGTGCTCACTGGGGGATGTTTTAATGAGAACTTCTACATATTTCTTATTTATTTCTAATAACTCTCTCCAACATTTTCAATCTCATAATATATATAACTTTTAAAATCTGTAATTATTGCTCTTTCTTCTATCAATTCCAGCTGGTAAAATAGCAGTTTAAAATAACATTCTAATGTTGAATATTATTTTTAAAAGCACATCTGTGCTACCCACAGCCAGAAGAAATCCAGATATATACATGAGCAAAGAAGTCTCTGTGTGATGCCACATGTTCAAGATGACTCCAGGCCCTCTCTCTGCAGCTGAAGACATTACACAAGGTTTTTTTCTATGGCCATGCCAGAAGAGCTGCAGGGCCAGCACACAGGCACAAATCCCTTCAACTGGTGTTCCTACTGAGAAAATGCTCCATCTTAATAGCACGCAGGAGGGTTCACTACATCCATCCAAATCTACACTGTGCCCGACTGCAGGTGCATTACAGCTGTAATAGCAGGTCATTAAAATGTATGATCTTCGTAAGGGGAACTGCCTCTTTAGGTCTACTCAACATCCACACAGAGATTCACAGTTCTGGCTCACGTCTCTGAGTACTGATACAATAAGCTTAGAAGTTCATTATCAGAAGATTTTGACCTAATTGGTACCCTAGTGGTTAAGAGGCCTTTGACCATCATAATACATTAGAAATGCAGCAGAATATTTCTTTTCTATGTCTGTGCAGTTTATGCATTATAAAAAGTGTAAAAAATGAAAGCGTGGAATTGAATAAGCAGGACAACTTTAGAATTAAAGTGAGGGGTGAAGACAGCAAAGAAAAGCAACACCTAAAAACTTCCCATGGCCAGCGATAACAGATATTTCTTCATTTTCTTAAAATGGGGTGCTGGCAAGGAACCCTGTAATTCTGTCAGGAAGATATAAAAACCCTCTGATCTCCCCTTTTGACTTCTGAAATACAGTGCAGTTCTTCACCATCTGTTATTTTAAAGTAGAAACAGCAATGAACATATGGGCTTTCTTTCTCAACCAGCTGTAGTGTAGTTAAAGTTATAATAATAGCCTTTCTGTAAGATAAATTTACATTAAAAAACTGGCCATTAAGGCAACATTGCCCAACTTTACATTTCTTTCAAGTGAATTCCAGGATGTCTGAAACTCATCAATGATGTACTTAGTGACTGCAGAACATTTGCCACCAGAAAGTTACTGTCTTACATATGACTGATCCCTCTCAGTTCAAACCAGGAATGTCAAGTTTAATATAAAAATGTTACAGTTAATTTTGTCTTATTTTTGAGTAAGATTTTTAAAGCGTGTAAGACTGGTCCCTGAGCTCATAGTTTTAACTGAACTATAGAAAACAGCGCTGAAGAAAAATGGGTAAAACTGTGGTTCATAAAGTCTAGTTTATCTGAAAGTAGACACACACAAGCTCAAGTCTATAAACAAACAACATACATTTGCACTCAGTGCTCATTTACACACTCAGCATACTTAAAGGATCTCGTTTAAGCTTCTTCCTTTCCCACTCTGGTTAAGAAAAGTAATCATTATTTACCTTTATCAGGATGATTCAAAATCATGATTCTTCTATGGGCTGTTCTGATTTTGGCCTTGTCAGCAGATGGACTGCAAAAATAAATTGAAATGCTTGCCATAAATGTCACTGAACTCAGGCTATAAATTAACAGTTTATACTGGTTTAAAAATAATTAAAACTTGAGATTTTCACCATCTTGTGGACGAAACATAAAACTGCACCTCTGAAGAAGTAAATAACAAAGGCACGTAAGACACACAGGACATTTTTTAAAAGCCTGTGTACTTGACATAGAAATATCTTTCAGTTTTTTTAAGAAAACTCATACTCATTTAAAATAAATGATTAAAAAAAAGGGAAAACCCAACAGCTCTAGGGTGTTTCCAGCTAGTTATTCTTATCATTAAATGCAGAAAACACTTATTTTTCCTTGTAGAAAATAAGTATTTTTATGATCAGAGACAAAACAACAAATATTTAATATTAGCACATTTTGTTCTACTGTAAATATTTTTATAGCTGCTATAAATAATTCTTCTTTCTGCAGGAGCCAGGGAGGGGGGATGATAAAAAAATGCCCAAAACAAAACCAAAGCTGTATTTGTTATTTTTGCAAAGCTGTTCAGGTATTCATAATTTTTTCAAAGCTCTTCAGTGTGTTATGTTCAGGGACATGCTGATTTACAAGTGCTACAGGATGTTGTTTCCTTCAATGACAGATACATAAAATACGTACTTGGCCTAAATTAAATATGTACCTTACCAGACAAATAATCACTTGTGGATGCGGTAGACCAACATGGTACGGCTATCGTATGCAGAAAGACAGTTTGAATGGCTTAGTTTGTCATCATTTGTTAACATGCAGAAATGAAGCAGTGTTTTCCACTTCAGGTGACTTCTTAATCAATGATGATTCAATTAATTAATCTTTTTGTAGGTACAGTTTGAATGCACAGTATCAGTCTAACTGAATTCCAGAGGTAAACAACCTTTACTTATTATTCCGTCACAGGGAAATTAGGGTATGTTGCAAAAATAGTTCACAGGACTGCATAAGAAAAGAGTACTTCAATGGAACAGAAAGTAACCCAACAAGTAAGAATTAAACAGAAGGTGGAAGGCCTTGAATTATATAAATATAAAAATCAAACAATTTGTTATTGGACAGCTAAAAATAACAATCACCTATATTTTGATTTGTAAAGGTGTTATTTAGCAATAAAAAGGAAAGTCAATATACCACATTTAGAAACTCAGATGGCCAAAGAGTAACTCTGGAAATGTGGCAGTTTTGTACTATGGAAAATCATGCAGTTCTGCTTCAAGAATAAAATTAGGCAGTTTACATCAAATTTGCTGTTTATGAGATATTGCTTATCTCACAGTCAGACTGGTCTTTAAAGATTGTTAATCACTACCAAAAACCCCTTAATGTGAAAATCGCTTTTTTGTTGAACTGGTACAGCCAGACAACCTGAGCCACACGGTCTCATGCTGCCTTCTAACATCATTAACTAGCTGAGATATCCACCACCTTGGTGGGAATAATCAATACACTAGAGAGTATGGCTGACATTCAGGGGGACCTGGACAGGCTGCCAGAATGGGGTGACAAGAACCCTTCAACAAGGACAGATGCAGAGCCCAGTGTTTGGGAAGGCAGAGCCCCCTGCAGTGCTACAGACGGGGGAAAGCCGGGCTGGGGAGTTGCTCTGCTGGAAGGAACCCATGATACAGCAAAATGAAAAACCAGAAGCTTACCCTGGCTGCAGAGGACAACAGCCTCGTGAGCTGTGTGAACAGAAACATGGTCACTGGGTCAAAGCAGCAGCTGTTCTCCTCTACTCAGCCAACCATATCTAGCTGGTGCCTCCACGTTTGGGGCCTCTGTAGAGGAAAGACCAACCCCAGCAGGTCCAAGCAAAGGCTGCCACAATGGTTGGGGGGCTGGAGCACTCACCCTTGGAGGAGAGGCTGAGGGAGCAGGGCTTGTTCAGCCTGGAGAAAAGAGGGCTGCCGGGAGACCTCACAACAGCCTCCTCAGCATCTACAGGAAGGATGTGTAATAGGCCAGTATATTGGAAATCTAAAAGCTACCGTTAAATGCACACCTTTATCATGGCTTGTATTTAGCATTTATACTGCCTGTGCATACTCAGCACTTGAAATACTGAAGAAAGTCTTTACCTCGAAATTTAACATGACTTGGAAGTGGTGACACAGGGTACAAGCGTTACAAGAACATCAGGGCCTGAACAGATCCAGGAAAATACCCTGGCATTTCCCGTAACACTTTTAAAACTCGCTTGCCTTTTTTTTTTTTGGTGGTATTTAGATATACATATATATTATACATACCATACAGAAAGCAGTGAGTTAAATCTGGTCTAGAAAACTGTGTTTAAACAATGTCAAGATTTCCTATAAAGATGTTAACTATGCTTCTACACACTTTAAGGCTCAAACCTTCAAATATTAAGAAGAACTTTCCTCAAATCTGATTAAGTCTTAATACATGCAAGGCTGAGTTTAAACGCAACAAGCAGTGTCAGTGCTCCTGGTGAAGACACAAGCTATTAAAATTAAAAATTAAAAAAAGGGGCCTGATTTCAGTTGTGACGAAACTGCAGACATACCCATGAGCAGTGTTCAGGCTATGCATTGCCATTGTAAACACACTTTAATAAGCTGCTATGTGCTACTCTAGAGTATCATTGAATGTGCCCTTACAAAGTGGAAGTGTTAATACGTTATCAAACAAAGGCCAAATGAAATATTTCTAAAGAGCATTCCTATAAATCTCTTCTTCAGTGTGCAAGCATGAAATATTTCAAATAGATGCAATTTATTTTCTAAAGTGAATGCTAAATCTGTGTAATTTCCATTATGCTAGAAGCAAACACAAATAGCACACGGAACAGGGTTTTAAGTCCCAGTATTCCCCATCTGAAATAATTTCTCTGGGGATAATTAAAACTATCCCCCTTTTTTTATTTATTTTTATTCAGAACTGATCTAGACCATAAATGAGAAAACTACCACCTAAGGTCAGATCTGCTCCCTCATCTGGAAAGCCCTCAAACCCACCATACCACCTGCTTTACAGAAAACACCAAGACTTGTGCTACCATTGGCCATCCAAATGTTTGTTAAAAATCCACTGAAAAATTCATTGAATACTCAGAAATTATTTCCACATAAAATGGGAATTATTTCCCATACCTACTCTAAATGACAAGTCCCTTCAAGTTGGGGTCTTTGGTTCGGGGTTTTTTTCTGTTTGTTTGGAATATGCCACAACCTTTTAAATCCAAACAAATCAGAGTGGAGAAAGAAAAAAATGTTACTGACTTACGAAAAAAACAAGCAAAATTGATTCGTTCTCCTCATTTATTAATATAATCTTCAACATTCCTCATCTCAAAGGTTTTTTTGGAGACCAGGCCATGTGATTACACTAATTAGCACAGTATGTGCTATTCTGATTATTTCTAGAGCACCAATTCTTCACTGCAATATGTTACCATGCCTTCAAACCAAACACAAGTTGCATGTTTTATTAGCATTCTACTGTTTGCTTTTTAGCTTAAGCAGAACATTAGAATGGTTTATAAGCCACGAGAAGTCTTTTAAAAAGATTTTGCCAAGAGCATTGCACATTCTTGCAACATGCATTTTCTTCATTCAATACATACCAGACAAAAACATATTAATGCAACACACCTACCTTACACCTAAAATAAGACTAGCTTCTCGCCTACTCATTTTCTGTTCAAATCCTCCTTTATAGTATGATGAAAGACTCTAAAAAGAAGAAAGGGAAAACAAGCAATAATTAGCTTCATGTACAAGGTGCCAGGACCTAAATCGTATTTATATGACCTCATTCAGAGCATTGCATTCATCTATAATTTATTTTGAAGGCATGGAATGACTACAAACCAGATAATACGAAAGGACTTCTCCTGAGTGTTAACACATACAAAAAAATGACTTAAAAATAACTATCTGTGTTTTTACAATCTTCTACTGCTAATAAGAGAGATTAATAGCTACAACTGTTAAAAATCCTGCCTTTAGGTAAAACAGTCCAGAATCAAAGTACAAACTAGCACAGAGTAGTACAGTGTATGTCTTGGGGAGGGCACAGGAGGGAAAGGGGGAAACTTACTTGGAACAGCTTTGGTACCACTGCAATGGAAAATTACAAAAGTCAAAATACTCTGGCATCCAAGGAATTAAGGACAATCACTTTGAAGACCAGATATTTCTACAGAATAGTTGAAAACAACAATAGAAGGATAAGAAGAGATAACTTATATATTCTTTTCATGTGAAAGAATGTTACTTAAAAAAATACTGAGAGTTCTTTGAAGGAACCCTGAAAAATACACAAAAAGCAAATAGAAAAAAAAAAAGAAAAAAGGTTTAGCATAAAGCTACAACCTCTATTTCAGGAAAGCTGGAGAACAGTGGAAAGTATCAGAATACATGGGGAAATCCTAACCAACTTTTGCCTTTACATCCTTTCCTGGACATCGCTGACTGATGACAAGTAGACACAGGATCTGGAGACAGGTTTTTTTTAAACTCATTGGCATATGATACTTTAGCCACTGTTTTAAGAAGGGGAATAAAAAGACACAAGTGGAAAAAGAACGCTAAAAAGGAGGAGATGAAGAGTAAATGATTACAACAAGTAAATGTTATAGGGAATGGTTTGAAAGTATATTTGTCAATTATTTAATTTAAAATACAAGTTACTGAATCACCACGGATAGTCAGGTGTGATGTCGTCGATGTAAATGTTTCTGTAAGTAGAATTAAGGACTAGCCCATTGCTACACAGACAAGAGTCTAAGCTGCACAAGTCCCAGAGGCAGCAGATGTAGCTCCAAGCCAGCCTGCCTTTGGGAACTAGCATACAGAAATCACTCAACAGACTGGAGGTTTTTCCTCAATACAATACCTATCAACTGGGGAAAAATAAGCTTCTTTTGTTGCTGTCAAAGGGAAGTCCGGCCTGAGAGCTGAGATTATTTTTAAGTGTTCCTTTTACCCCCAAGTAAAAATGTGCCTGGCCCTTAATAAAACACTTTTCTCACTCAATAGTCATTCATATTCAGAGAGAATTCTGCCTTATGTTTACTCAAACTCTTTTTTACATAATTTCAAAAGCATTAAAGCATTTAAAGGGCTTTGTCTACGATATCTAAGCAAAGCCTGTAACCAAGCTTGGAGCGACGTTCACCCAAAAGCATGTTTCAGAAATACTTCACCTATTGCTACCATGAAATCACACACAGCAGTCACAAAAGGAGATTTTTCTGGCGTGCTCCTATGATCTGAAACTAATTTTATCTTCCTTCTTACCAACCCAAACCTTACATGAAATAACCACTACCATAACACTACAAGTATCAAAGCTGCAGCAACTGTGGACATGTCATGCCTACAACAAAAATCTGTTGAGAAACCACTTCTATAGCTACAGCATAACACAAAAGAGGTCTGTAATAGCACACATCGACTTTACAGGTTAGAGTATATAACACTAAAGGAATACACAGGGCTTTCCCAGTCCTCCAAGAGGAAATGATGCTAATAATTTAATGGTCACCAGATAACACCCTTGAGGAGGCAGAACTGCACAGAAATTTGCAATGATGCTGAACAGTTACTACAGTCAGGAGAGAAAAACACACTTTAATGGCCTCTGATTTTCCAGGACTTCTCCCAAAGCAGCTTAGGTGCAGATGGATTTCTGAAAAGGTTAATTCTTCTTTGCCCTTCACCTCTGGCATACAACTCTAATACACAAGGACACTGGATCACTATTCATGTAAAGACCAATACTTGAATTATCTCTAACAAAGCTCATCTCTGTTCTTGGTAGATTTCACCTAAAATACTATTCAAATTAAGAGAATAGGGAGAGGTGGCTATAAAGCTTACATTCAGAAATACTCTGCCATGTTTTTAAAGACTACTTCCTTGACACTGTTCTAACCTTGGGAAGCCTTGATGTGGTTCACATCCAAGAGGAATAAAAAGAAATTCTGCTGTCTGTATCCTTTAGCACACAGTTTGTTGAATTGGTCATCGAGAAAAAGCATTTTCTTCTTGGAAGTGAAGCACGTACCAAGAATAATCAATTCTTAAATTAAGATCTTGCTCCTAAACAGAATTTAAAGCAAAAGGAAATTAGATATAAACGCCATTTTTTCCATTGCTTAGAATAAGGGGAAGAAATTGAGTCTTCATTTTAGGAAGCATCTTGGCAAATTTCTAGTTCCCTAATGAAACAACTTTTGCATGCTAGTGAAATTAAAGCTTTTCCCCCTCACTTGTAAATTCTGAGTAATGGCTGCAATGAAATGAAACAATGCTCAAGGTATTTTTCTGTTATGAGAACTCCTCAATGAGCAGGCAGTTCTAGACACTTGATTATTTATTAACTCCAGCTATTGCAAACAAATTCTGTACTGGAAAAATTATTGAAATGAGCTGTTTCTTCATACTATTTGAGGTGAGGGGCTGTAATTTAATTTATTTCATTTCTTTGCGTGTTGTTACTATTTAGCAACTTATGCGAGTTCTGCTTTCTAAGCAAAAGCTATTGGTGGGGGGGACATGGAGATGTCACAACATGACACAAAATGGCTGGACTTGCTCTGCAAATATCTATTCACTCTTGCAAATTTTCACAAAAGCAGTCAGCTAAGAAAATCCAATCCATTTGGACTGTGACATCTTCAAGACACTCTTCCTGGCATAGCACAGGCAAAGCACAATCAGTTTCCATGCCAAGTAAGAGATTCAAAACTCCGTTAATTCAGACCATCCATCATAGTCCATGAAGTAGTGAATTTTTCCAAAACCTCTCTGTTTTGTTCCACTATCAATACAATCCTCTACTGGAAAAGTAACAAACGCTGGAAGGGGAAAAAAATAAAACAAACCCAAAAAACAACCAAAACCCACCAAACTACAGTAAAAAACTATTTATAAGCTGAGTTATAATATAATCTACAATTTACCAAGATAAATTTTAACTTAACTTCAGTTAGAAAAAAATAAAAATTAAAATAAATGAAATGAACTGCAATTGCATTATTCTCTAAACACTTTATTTTCAATGAAGGACAAGGGAGATGGTTGTTACCTTTACCTCTCAATTCAGAACTCTATGAATTTGAGCGGAATCACATCCAACAAGGGAAACAGTGCAAAAAGATCTCTAATGTACTATAGAAGACACCTTTTTCTTCTGGAACACAGAATTTTCAGGATTGCGGGGTTTGTGTATTTTTGCCTAGAATTGCTGTTTCTATCTTCAATATCTTCCATCTTTCAATATTCAATATCATTGATTCAACAAAGAAATGTAATGAATGTTTTTTTTTTCTTTCTTCTTTAATTTCACATTTTAAGGAAATACTAACATTATAATTAACAGTATTAAGGTCTGAAGAAGAAAAGCCAAAGGACTGCTTATTGCTACACACCTTCTGTTGGCAACACTCTTGTCACTACACACAGGAACAGAACAATGTCACTGGCATTTGTGACACCAGTAACAAAACTAGGCTAAAACTAAAAGAAAAAAAAAAAAAAAAAATCGTTTCTCTGGAAATGAGCATTATGACTTGTCATAGAGGGAAACTGACAATGTTTCCTCTTATATCTTTCTCCACTGAAAAGAAGTAGAAAAATTAGCGACTAAATCACAGTAGCATTTACATTTCATATTTAGAATATATATTTAACTGCCATAAATTAGAGGTAGAAATTCAGAATAAAACAGCACTTTTACTTGCCTTTACTTACTATTTCTGAATAAAACATGAGTGCAGTTGCTGAATGTACACATTTATTCAGGTAAGTAAATACAAAGTGTCAAATACTCAAAATACAACAAGAAGGCATTTTAAATGATTGCTTCATAATTGCTCAACTTGACCTTGCACAAGTCATTTCTTAGTGAGCAGGAAGAAAGGATAAACATCATCTGGATTACCTTGTATGGTGACTGCAACCAACATGAACTGTGATTTCTATTGCAAATGAAAGATGAAAATGGGGTGAAGAAGAGTGGTGGCTTACAGAGAGAACAAGCTAGCTTTTAAATAGGCAACTGCTTCACAGTCTCTCAAAAGAAAGCGGTGATGAGGGACAGGGTTTGATTCTAGAAAGCTAGAGTGACAACTGAAAATTATCACAGTGACTAAGTTAGGCACTTCCAAACACCACAGAAAACCAGCAAAGTAACACTAAGCCTGGACACTAAATGTCACGAGATACTTTATCCAGAAAGCATAGGTAGAAGTACTAAATGCTTGATTTCCCTTGTCAGTCGAGTTTAGAGGTCAATATGCTGTAAAGAAACGTGAGGAAAGTGCTAATCCACAGATTATATTCAGCAGCTTCAAATTCCCCAAACAAAATCACATAAAGCCGCTAAAATAAGAAGTTTTCATAGTAAGCACTTACACAGGATCTTTGTACCTGATGTTTTTACTATTGTTTTAGAGAAAAGTTATAAATAGGAAATAACTGATTATTAAGGGGAGAAAAAAAGGTAGAAAAAATAAAATCCAAGACAGTAGTAGCTGTAGAGTAGTAAAGAACAAATAACCTTGGCTAAGAATTATACAAGGGTCTTAACTTTGCAGTGTGATTGTAGAAGAAAATATTATTACCCACACAAATATAAAGCTGACAAATACATATAGTTAATGGCAACCAGGAAGGGTTTTTACTTTATTCAGCAGATCTCATCTTACACTGAAAACTTGTATTTTCAAGTTCAGAAATAGAATAGCGGACGAGAGATATTCTACTGGAAATCAACACACAATTCCGGGCTGTAAGGCAGGATGTGAAGGCAGACAGGATGCAGCTCCTGGGGCTATGAATACTGTGAATGCAGAAGCACCTGGCTTCCTCTTTATGGTTGTTCATGAATTCTGCAAGACTCTGAAAGTCACTGTGGTAAAAATGAGATAGACCTGTAATGAGCTTGGCTCAGCCAGTATACCAGTACTGAGGGGTACAGTTTCCTAGGAACAGACACCTCTCTGTGCAGTAGCATGTCATATTTCAATGTGTTAAAGAGTCACTGCCTGCTTTCTTATATGAAGATGTCTGAATATAGATCCTCTAGCCTGTACCTACAAACGTATAGAAGAAATGCTGGAGTAAAACTGCTGAGGTGGGAGGGTGAAGACTGAAGCACTCCCTACCCTGAAACCACATGTCCTTCCTGCGAGCTATCTCTAGCAAGCCTGCAAGTCAGACTGTATCCACATCATGTGAAAGCAATTTAATTCACAGTACCTAAAGTCCCCTCTGCTGTTTTGGCAGGCAACTTGGGAATCTCTCAAAAAATTACTTTGAAAAGGAAAAAAAAAAAAAGTTGGTCTCTCAACAACAATGCAATAGAGGGACAGAGAGCAAAAACTGATCCAGGAGCACCATTTCTGGCTGATATACATTGCAATTAAAAACAAGTGTGGACCAGCCCCAAGAGGACAGCCCATGTTTAGAGTCTTCTCCCTCCCCAGGAAGCTTGCTTTGATCAAACCTACACCTTCTGCACATGAACAGAAAGTACAGATGGCAAATGTATTTGGACCCTAGCATCTGTCTATATCATGTAGACAGACTGTGTTGCAACCCGCCTTGCATTAATAGGTACAATGCTAACAATCACTAAAAAAACCAAACAAACTACCTTTAATATATTTTTCAGGAAATAATAATCTGCAACAATTACTCCCGCAAGACCCTCATACAGGACCATCAAGAGGGGAATTGTATTCTTTCAGCTGTGGAAAAGTGTTCTGAAAGAATATACTTCTACAATCAAACATCTACCTCACTGGAATTACTTTAATCAAACAGGAATGGAATGTGTTTATTTATTTACCAGAGGACAGTATAGCCATTGAAGCAAAAAGTAAATGCTCTTGAATATTCCCTGCATATGCTCCTCTCACAACACCCTATCCCTTGATTTTTTTTTTTTACGTCATTATTACATTGTTAAATATATAGGGCAAAACAAAGAGCAAAAACTTGATTAACAGTTCAAATCAGATGGGGAAGAAAAAAAAAGACAACTCATGTATGAACAAGAAAACAAGCTCCTCCATCTCTATGGCAACCTTTCTTAGAAGTTTATCAATTTTTCTTGATTTTAACACTGTATCTGGGGGAGAAAAAAAAAGCAAAAAAAAGAAAAAATGACTAACTTCTTTCATTTTTAGCTTCTTGAAATGAAACTGCACGTCATCATTTTGTAATCTCTAGGAATTAGCTATTTTCTCAAAGCACACTTCAACCATTTATCATACACTAACTAGCAAACAGTACTGAAACATGGAACATCACCAGGAAATTCTGTTTATCAAACTCAAATATCTTTTGATATAGCTTCATCCACAGGGATTTAAAAACATACCAGATAATATGTCAGAACATACACAATAAGGAGCACCCTTATCCTGGAAAAAGAATAATCAAAATGGCACTTGTTGTATATAACATAAAATGGCTCCTCTCTAGATACTTGAAACAAAATCATTAATTCAGCAGAAAGTAACCTCTAAACTTACAGAAGTTGAAATCCTCTTTGCTGTCTCTGTAATTGCCTGCTCCAATGGTTTCCAAAGGTGAAAAGCATAACGACCTGAAAAAGATTGAAGTTAAATGAAATTATGACCAACATTCACTAAAAGGAGAAAAAATGCCTCCAACTTATGTTCATCAGTGTAAAGCAGAAAGAATTTTGGGGTTAAAAAAAAAAAAAAAAAAAAAAATCAACCCCCTTCCTTTTTAATCTTTTTGTCTCATTTATTTGCTGTACAGCACTATTGCACTTTACTGCTTTTGAAGTTGTTCCCCCAACAGCCATTTGTGGATCCTGCCCAGAAGTCATCCCAAACTAACCTTGCTATGGTTTACATTTTTCAATCTTTGTACTGTTGGGAGAGGGAATGGAAGAAGCTCAGTATACTTCATCTAGAAACCTAGTCATGGACTGCAAAGATCCATTGTGTTTGCTCACAAAATAGATAGATTGAAATGCATTTCAATATGATAAATGAAGATATATGCCTTATGAAATTCAAGAAAAAGGGTAGCATGAAACATTAGCATTGGATGTACATTATTTATTAAATACTGTTCAAAGGTTATGTCTTCAAAAAAAGAAATCTATGTACTACATGTTTCTTGCTGTGATTTTGTATGCTTAATCACACATTTTGTAAGTACTGCATTTTTTATTTTGCTACAAAGAGAGGATCTTCTAGGATTCAGAGCCATTCAACTCCTCACTGGTCATGAATATCTATAGCTAGCAAAGGCTTGAGGAAACTATTAGACTGTGCTCTCAGAAGTACAAAGCAGGTCTATCAACTTCAGAATCAAGATTTGTGCCATGTTAACTGGAGAATTTTCTCTCTACGCTCCCTCTTTCCAATTATTGTTTTGATCAACTGTTCATTAGCAATGTAACTTATTATTACACACAATGGAAAAACTTTTTATAAAAATGGGGCTCTGCTTCAATCAGATAGTATCTTGCTTTCTTAAAGTACATAATGCATCCATAGCTTATTTTAGCTATCTAAGCCTGTGCCTGTGTTAACACAGAAGCTAAAGCCACTATTAGAGCACCACTGCTGAAATGTTGTGATCTACTTATATATTACCTCACCTTCTTCATGCTTTCTGCTACCACCTTTCTGCTAGCTGCCATTAATTCTTCAGCTCAATCAACAGAAATTCTAAAAAGCATTCCTCTTCTGCTTCTATACAAACACATATATAAACCAACTGCCTAAAGGTGTACATTACCAAAGATCTTGGCTTTCCTCCCCCTAACCGCTGTACGCACCAAACACCCACTGAAGTTTGGTGCAACTTGTTCAGCTGTTGCACCAGTTCTTGGTGTATGTATTTGCACACAGCTGACCCTGGCTGCTTTTATATACCGAAAATAATGGAAATCAGTTTGTGTGTTTCAAAACCAAACAGTCATCCAGTTTGAGTAAGCCAAAGTATTATTCATGTTAAACTCATGCCCTGTGTTCAGACTAGAACCTCTTTTTCAGAAGAACATACAGTCCAGATGCAAAGAGTTCAGGTAACAAACAATGTACTATGGTGTCCTGGGTTCAGGTACAGCAGTCATTTTTTCTCCTTCTTAGTAGCTGGTGCAGTGCTGTGGTTTTGACTTTCAGCCTGGGAACAATGCTGATAACACTGATGGTTTTAGTTGTTGCTCAGTAATGCTTACTCCGACCAAGGACTTTCTCAGTCTCATGCTCTGCCAGGGAGGAGGGGAAGCCGGGAAGAAGCAGAGACAGGACATCTGACCCAAACTGGCCAAAGGGGTATTCCATACCACAATACATCGTGCCCAGTATATAAACTGGAGGGAGTCACCCAGAAGGCCCAGATCACTGCTCGGGTCAGGCTGGGTATCGGTCAGCGGGTGGTGAGCGGTTGTGTCCTCTCCCCTTGTTATTTCCCTTATCATTATTATTGGTAGCAGTAGTGGTTTGTATTATACCTTAGTTACTGGAGTGCTGTTATCTCAACCCGTGGGAGTTACATTCCTCCGATTCTCCTCCCAGTCCCTCTGGGAGAGGGGGGAAGGAAAAAGGTGGGGGAGTGAGTGAGCGGCTGCATAGTTCCAAGTTACTGGCTGGGCTTAAACCACAACATATGGGAACTGTTTAGTGTGATAAATCACTGTAGCCACTTAAACCTTCTATTTTTCTCTTTCTGAATTTGTTAGGTGTTACCTTTACATCACAAGATCCTGTTGCACTCTTCTATACTACAGAGCATCCACCTTGCAATATGTTATTAAATAAACAAAGTAAACTTTTCACATGACATTTTGCAGGCAAAAAGCAGATGGAACCTTTTAGCTGCTGTCCATAAAATTAGTTTCAAGTTGTAACTGCACAAAAAGAATTTTGGAAAATACGTCCAGGACTTCGAAGGAATGGGAACTATAACTGGACACAATTCTCCATAGCACTCTCAAACAATCTATCTTCCACTGTTTATATTCATTAGAAACTTCATTAACTGTTTGGAAATAGCAGCTCACAAATGACAGTTCCACACTCAGCTGTTAATTTAGCTTACCTGCAAATGCAACAGTTGCAACACCAAGTCCAACAGCTATCATTGTTCTGGCCTAAAGCAGAGAAACAGGAATCAGAATAACATGCAAATTCTAATTTGAAATACATGCATCTTATATTTTAACCACAAGTATTTCTGATGTCTGACATTTACAAGGAAGATAAAAGCAAGTTCTGTATTCCACAGGCTACATCAGATTTTTAGAGTTCAGCCCCATTAGCCCCTGACAGCACATCAGGTTTAACCTGGAACTACCCATTAGCAAATCAGTAAAACACTCACAAAGCAGTTCACAGTATGTATTGATAAAAACACAAGGCAAACAATTATTCAGGATCACCTGAAATTAGTCATGCCAAATGATTCAACACATAAAAAAGTATCAGTTTGTTACACAAATATGAAAAGCTTAAAAAATATATATTGTTTTGCAAAGTCCTTCACTGGGAATCTCATCATGATATTGCTTGAAAACAATACTGGAATATTAACTTAACCTCTATGGCCACAAACATACATTAGCATCTTCTACTGTTCATGCTTTGACTCGTGGAAGCCCCAATAAAGACATGAAGCTCAGAAATCTCTTTTCATTACTTCATGTCACTCACTGGACTCTACCTTATACATTCACTGTTAGTCTAACTGGGGTCTTGGAACCAAACCCCCAGGGGAAAAAAAAAATAAAATAAAAAGGCCAAAAGAAATAAAAAACCAACCCAACCTTGAACATCTGATGTAGACAACAGTCACCTTTTCCTAACTCAAACTCCCCAGATTACGTGTATGTATTTTTCTACACAGTGCTTGAAGCAAGTCAGGCATCTCAAGAAGGACAATAAGCATCATCTCCATGTTGAAGAAGAAGCTGCTGAAAGCTATGTAGTAAACCTTGAAGAAGGTACTGACTTTTCACACACCTGCAGAAATCAAGAAGGATAATGAGCACTGCAAGAGTTGGGGGCATCTCTCCACTTCCGAAAAGCCAAAATGTAATCTCTGAAACAGATGAAATAGTCATCTGTGGCACTACCTGTCTTATCATATAATAGTTCAATAATGCCTTGAACTTTCCTCCAGGAAACATAAGGAATCAAATTAGGCCTGTTTAGCTTAGAATTCAAAACATAACAATGAAAATGCTTTTATCACCAGACTGTCTCTTCTAAACATGACTTCTGTATTTATCCAATATCTGGTTTATACTTTTTCTACCAACAAGCCTGACAGCAGGACCTAAAAGCCCAAATTTCAACATGAGTGCCCTAATAACTGGATTTGGAGCCAAGTTGCGTTTGCTACTAAGACTCCTGGGGCTAAAATTGTGTCTTTGATAGTACCCAATCTCATTTCTAGACTGTAAAGAAATAAAGGAAATTAGTCACTTAGCGTAACTTACTTAGCATTAGTAGCTAGATGTGCTGAAGCCTCAGGCCACAAGCTGTGAACTTTCTCATAGATATGCTGAGCTTTTTACCTACTTAAGTAAAAGGAGGCCCCAGAGCTGGTGTAAGATAAGGAAGCAAGGAAGGCCACTACCTCTGTCAGCATAACCTGCAAACTTAGAGAAAGGAGAAACAGCCTGCCTAGAGACAGTGAAGGGACCTAACTGAGAACAACTTGACCCCAGACCCTAATATTTGGACCAAACTGTTACATGAAGGGTGGGAAACTTAAATTGTAAGGGCTCAAGGATTGCTTTCTTTGAGGCCCCTCTCTGCAGCTAACCAGCTTGAGCTGTTTTTAACACTGTGCCACTCAAAAAAATTACTGTATTCAGAGCCTAAGATTCTGCTACAGGATACCTAGGGAAGAGAAGTATTATTAGCATAGAGAGGGAGTAGGAGAAAGAGTTGGGAAATACCAGTTTTAAAGCCTTCTAGAGCTGTCTTAACTATGGTCTAGAACACAGGTCAACAACTTTCCCAACAAAAGGGCAGCTGCACAAGATGTAGGCACTGACATCATGCCGAGTAGCTCCTATGGCTTTGGCTGCGAAGGCAAGTGGCTGTGATTGCTGCTTGTAGTATTGAGCTCAGTATGAGGAAAGTGGTAGTCTGCTCTGAGCTCATATAGAAGAGGATGTATTCCTCTCTATCTAGCTTCTGGACTCTATGCACTTTAACTAAGTACTTTACCTCCTACTTACCCAGATGGGGCTATTCCAGCTATTCGCATGACATAATGCTGCAACTGCCTAGAGGTTTCTCATAGAACAAAAGAGACTTACTAAACATACTGAAAGTGAAGCTCCAAAGTTAAGACTGGGATAGTTTCGGCCCTAAAAATCTACCCATTTCAGTAATCTAACTCTTCCATTTCAGTGTAGTCTTCAGTCTCAATACAAGCAGTCTTTTCTGAATGCAAAAATAACATAGTAGTTTTACGTCTGTTGTTCCTTTAAGCTCCACAAAATTTCCCCTCATCTTTAGACCATGAAAAAAACGTAAGCACTCTACCTTAAATGGTAGAAGATATAAAACAGCAAAGCATACCATCCATCTCCACACTAAACTAAAACTCTTGTCATTTCTTCTCACAAATTGGTTTTCCCAGGCTCTCAATATTCAAACCTTCTACGTATTCCTTTAATTCCTGTTTAGAAACTAACCAATATCAGCCACAACATTTCTGAAAAGATGATAACCGTATGGAAATTCTATATTATTCTGTTCTGTGGTTTATGACTGTGGATTTATATTCAAGAGACTTCCCTTGACTAGTTCGGAGTGACAGCGAGAATATAAACTGTTACACTCAATTAAAAGCTCAATAATGTGTTAAATAGATCACACTGGCAAAAAAAAAAAGAAAAAAAATTAGCTTGTGCTTGCCCAAATTAAGTTATACTTGCTTTGCCACCAAAAAGGTGGGTTAAGTTAGCAGTTTACAACAAGGTATGCTGGTTGCAACTAGGCATTAGCAGCAGACACTTTATCACAGGTAAGGCCAAGCACCGAGGTGAGGCTAATAAATAATCCCTGGACTCTGTCAGTTCAGTGCAGAAACAACTTACGTGTTTTTGCACAGTAGTCTGGGAACACAATATCAAAGGCCCTCAGGGGTCTCTACAGAGTCAGCCATGTCCACTGGAACGCATTATTTCAATCTCAGTGGAAAGCACTTAACAGTTAGTGGAAAGCTAGGGCTGCCTGAAAAACAGCAGGCAAAAAAGCATGGCAACAGCTCTAGAATAGGAGCAGGATGCAGGATCACAGGAATATGACAACAAGCCAGAAAACTAGGTAAAAGTGATGGAAATTTCAAACCAGAGAGGCATGAATGACTGTCCATGTTTTGAAGAAGCACAACCACCAAGAAAGCTGAGAAATGCTAGTTTACAGAAAATCACCTCGTTTGCATTATGAGCAGGTTAGAGAAGAAGAGTCCCCTGCCACAAAGTAGCAAAGAGGTGATAACCTGTCATACCAAAGCACCCTGAATGCTTGTTTCAGTGTGAATATATTCAAACTATATAAATGTGATAAAACCTGAATTTGAATCAATGTAAGAAAGACTGCAGTTTGTCTCTTACTGACCCAGCCCCTCTCTCAAAATTAGTGGCGACTTCAAGTACTAACCAGGAAGTCCTTTAAGTGCAGCTTGACTCGTTTTCCATGCTCACTTAACTCAGTTGATTATTTAGAAGAGTAAGTCGAGAAACTTTGAAAGGTAGAGTATAAAGTGCAAAGCTTTAATTACATGTAGTCCTTTCACATCAATATTAAATAAAAGTAACTACTGTGGAAGGGATCAGTTCATTAATGGCATGCTAATACAACTACTGCCACAACCATTTTTGGGTCCCACTGCTTAAAAATGCCTCTTATTTCAGACTCATAAAGGCTAAATATATA